CTTTTCCCATGCTCCCAGAGGTAAGTCCCCCCCTCCCCAGTTTTGTTAAATAAAGAGAGTTTCTATTTTTTCATACACGTGTCCTTTATTTTTTACATCAGGAAGGGGGGCTAGGGAGGGGTAAGTGGAAGGAGGTGAGGGAGGAATGGGGTACGAGCCCCGATGGGGAGGACTGGGGTGGCTCTGTGGGCTCCTTGGGGTGGAAGCTCTCCTGCAGCCCTCTGATTGACCTCCCCGGATGGCAATCTGCGGCAAGTGCATCCAGGCTGATGGCTGAGTGCTGTGATGTGCCGAGTGTGGGCACTCAGGGCACTCCAAGTCAGGACTGCTTTGCTGTCCCTCATTGAGGTAGACAAGCAAGCGGGGAACCCTGAGAACTGTCTGTCCGGGGTGGGGGTCGAGTTCCTTAAAGCACAGCCCTTGGCTAGCCTGAGGCAGCAGCTCCATGCTCTAAGTCCTTACCTGCCAGCACTGATGCCCTGCCAGCACTGCTTCCAGCCAGCCTTAACTTTGGTTCAGGGTCCACTCAATGTGGACATGCTAGTTCGAATTCGCAAAATGCTAATTCGAACTAGTTTTTAGGTCTAGATGTACTAGTTCGAATTAGCTTAGTTCGAATTAACTAATTCAAATTTAAGTTACTTTGAATTAGTGCTGTAGTGTAGACATACCCTAAGGCTACGTCTACACTGGCATGATTTTCCGGAAATGCTTTTAATGGAAAAGTTTTCCTTTAAAAGCATTTTCGGAAAAGCACGTCTAGATTGGCGGGACGCTTTTCCGGAAAAGCGTCTGTGGCCAATCTAGATGCGTTTTTCCACAAAAAAGCCCTGATCATCATTTTTGCAATCAGGGCTTTTTTGCAGAAAAGATTACTGTGCTGTCTACACTGGCCCTTTTCTGGAACAGTTTTCTGGAAAAAGACTTTTGCTCGAACGGGAGCAGCATAGTTTTTTCGTCTAGATTGGCGGGACGCTTTTCCGGAAAAGCGTCTGTGGCCAATCTAGATGCGTTTTTCCACAAAAAAGCCCTGATCATCATTTTTGCAATCAGGGCTTTTTTGCAGAAAAGATTACTGTGCTGTCTACACTGGCCCTTTTCTGGAACAGTTTTCTGGAAAAAGACTTTTGCTCGAACGGGAGCAGCATAGTTTTTTCGGAAAAGCGCTGATGATTTTACATTAGATTGTCAGCGCTTTTCCAGAAATTCAAGCGGCCAGTGTAGACAGCTGGCAAGTTTTTCCGGAAAAGCGGCTGATTTTCCGGAATAACTTGTCAGTGTAGACACAGCCTAACAGTTTAACCAATAAGCTGATGCTTTTTGGTTAATGGTGTTGGTTACACCTAGCCAGCTCCCAAGGAGTCAGTTTTGCTGTGGCAGGACGCTTCTGCACTCTCCCTCCTTCACAAACCCCGCACCCTCAGCCTATTCCTGGCACCCTATCTCTCAGCAGACCTCATACACCCATCCCCTCCTGTATCCATTTTGTCCTCATGGATGGATGGTGAGCTGCAGAAAAGTCTGTGTTGAGCAAGTTGGGTCTCAGGCAAAAAAGTTTAAGAACCACTGATCTAGTCTGATCTTCAAAGGACTCACTTGAAATAATGCATGTTTGAACAAGAGTATATTTTTAAAAATATTCAGTCTTGATCTAATCTACTCCAGCCCTTCATAAATTATTCTTATAGTTAATTACCTTCTAAGATACAGGTTTGATTTTTTAAGTTAAAACTTCTAAGACACTGGATCCTGTTACACCCGTCTGCTAGATTGAAAAGCTCATTATAAAAGTTGTGTTCTCAGTTTAGGTATTTATAGATTATAATTAAGTCACCAGTAATCCTCTTTTTGTTAAACAAAACAGATTGAGCTCTTTGAGTCTATCACTGCAAGGCATGTTTTCCAGTCCTTTAATCATTTTCATGGCTCTTCTCTCAGTGCTATCCAATTTGTCAACATCCTTCTTGACCACTGGATACAGTATTCCAGTAGCAATTGCACATGGCATGTGAAGAATAATTCACATGTTTATGTTTTGGCTGCTTATTTTATTAAAATAAAATATCCAAACTACCTGAAGAACTAAGAAATTTGCTCCAATCCCACAGACAGAGACAAACACCTACAGGATCTTTATAGAGCATTCCTAAAACTGAAATACCCATCTGGAGAAGTGAAAAAACAGATTGACAGAGCCAAAAAAGTAACCAGACATGAACTACTTCAAGACAGACCCAAAAGAGAAAATAACAGAATCCCACTTGCCATTACCTATGGTCCACAACTCAAAAATCTCCTCTTTCAATCTACAACCTATCTTGGAAAATGATCCCTCACTCTCAGAGGCCTTGGGGGAAAGGCCTATTCTTTCTTACAGATAATCCCCCAACCTGGAACAAATTCTTTCTGGTAACCATGCTACACTACTACATCATAAACATCCAGGAACCCAGCCCTGCAATCAGTCACGGTGCCAACTCTGCCACATATCTAAACAAGTGAATTGATTACTAGAGCCAACCACATAAGCCACCAAATCAGAAGTTCATTTAACTGCACATCCAGTAATTTAATCTATGCCATCAAATGCCAGCAATGCCCCACTGCTATGTATATTGGACAAACTGGACAGTTCCTATGGGCAAAGGTGTGTGCAGCACATTTCATTAGGGTGTGCACCCAAAGAAGTTTTTTTAAATGTACTTTGACCCCCATTAGCCACAGCCCTATCCCCTGTTAACCACATCCCTGGCCCCCATTGGCCACACCCCCTGACTCCCATTGGCCACACCTCTGGAGGTAACATTCTGGGGGCAAGATGGGTACATAACAAGAAGTAAAAGGTGTCATGTGACCCACCTCTAAGGACTTTTCCCACCATCATCCTACCAACAGGGATTAATTTGGCCCCCACCAAACCCTCCTCATGCAACTATCCTGCAGTTGCATTAACCCAATGGCTACGTCTAGACTGGCATGATTTTCCTCAATCCGAAAAGTTTTTCGTTAAAAGCATTTGCGGAAAAGAATGTCTAGATTGGCGCGGACGCTTTTCTGCAAATCGCCATTTTCGCAATCGGGGCTTTTTTGCGCAAAACAAATCTGAGCTGTCTACACTGGCCCTTTTGTGCAAAAGCTTTGTGCAAAAGGGACTTTTGCCCGAATGGGAACAGCATAGAATTTCCGCAAGAAGCACTGATTTCAGACAGTGGGAAAGTCAGTGTACTTGCAGAAATTCAAGCGGCCAGTGTAGACAGCTGTATTTTGTGTTGTGCACCAGAACTGAGTTCATGTGGCTTGTTTGGATGTGCTACTGTGGCACCCAAGTTATTAATAAATATCTCATAAACCTTTACCTCTTCTCTCTGCTGCC